GTGGTTAATGGGGAGTTCTGCTTTTGAGGTCTGCTAGTACTGTGACTTTCCTAAGCTGGCATATATTTCCTTATGGATTTTATAACAAAATTAATACTTTCCCTACCGAACCATAATAATACTTAAGGAGTAAAGTATTCAATAAAGAAGTTCACAACTGTACTAGGATGATCACGGACCACAGTCACTGCTATGCAGCTCCTGGTTCCACTCCTTTCGATGGTATTAATGCTAGAAAGGTACAGTGCTCCTATTCTGGCAAAACTTAACTGCAAAAGACCAGCATATACTTGGGTCATTGTGGGGTGGACTACATATCAGCATTATTTATGAAGCAAGAAAGCAGAAGATATTTTATTTCTAACGTTCACTTTCGCTAGTAAAACAAATCTTCTAAAATATAAATAAGCTTCTCAGAGTATGAAACAGTTCTGAACTAAGGATTCTGTTAGTTTTTATGATGAGATCTTAATTATCATCTGAAGACCAACTGAGACAGCACTGTTGGAACTAACACTGGTATTTCTCTAATGCCTCCATCTGCTGAGGAAAACCACGGACGATGGAAATTAAGGGAGAGGAATATGGGCACATAAAACCCTTTGGGAAACAATTATACAGACCATTCCAAGGCTTAGATGATAAGAGTATATAATGAAATACCATATAATTAAATGGATCTTAAATTTCAAAAGCAATCATTACTAGAGTTTTGGGAGTTCTTTGCACTGATAAGTTGTTATACTAAGCTATGAAAGATTTGTTTGAGAGTCAATACAACAGGTGGTTAAACAGACTCTTATTCAGAAAGTCTTCCTAAATAGGTGACCTTGATTATGATAATGTAATTGCTTACAAGAGTACTGGCAAGCAGTAAGAACTAAATAATGTGCTAGTTTTATTTCTTTACTTGAAAACTGAAGTGTCCACAGAAGAAGCTTCTTTTCACTCTACCTATTGTAGGTGAACCAGGAGTTAGCAGAGCCATGTCTGAATAAAAGCTCTGTCATCCACTGTTCATCTGAGTCATGTGACTACTCTGAGCACCTGCTGGCAACAGGCCCTGCTAGGTATCAGATATTATCCTGAGAGCTTTCTGTTCTTCAGATACACCACCAACATCCCAAACTCATTTCCTTGGCTGCACAAAATGGACATATCTACCAATATGGTTATGCTGACAATTTGAAGCCCAATGGAGCCAACATTGCCAAACCATGATAGCACCACCTCCTTGAAACTGTCTGGTACGAGCTGTTGGGTACATGTTGAGGAAGTTGGGCCTAGTCCTGGGTGTGCTGAAACCCTCTTGGATGCACATTCAATGCTCACACTGGAGGCAAGCTTCACCATAAAAACAGTAAGAGTTTAATAAAGCAGTAATATGTTTTGCTATAAAAATGTCTCTCTTCTCCTCGAACCCCAACTCTATGGAAGTTAAATTATTCAATAGATAATAAGATATCAAACAGAAATATTTTCCTTTAGAGATTGCATTTGCGACAAAAATGTGAAGCCATGTGTCTGTGGACATGAGTTATTGCTATCATTACTTAAGCTGGTAAGTAGTAGGTTCATAAATTACTAAATGCTGTGTGAACGGTTTTTCATTTATGACTCACTCAATCCCACAGGGTAGTACAGTAGTCTTATCTTCATGAATAAGAACCTCAGTTACTGTAATGTCCCTGGTCTTACCACACTGCACTGCAAATGAATACACTATCAGAAAAGACTGTAATGATTCTACTCCCTCTTCATCAGGTCTCATGACCACTCAAATAAACAGAACTGGTAGATCAAGACTTCAAGATATCTTAAGAATAAGATAGAAAAACAAACACATTAATTTCACATCTTAAAACAAACTTTAGTTTGCTTTTTTTCTGGTTTTAGAAATACAACACTGATTACTGAAAAAATACAGAAAAGTGAAATGAAATAAAAATAAATGCATCAATCAATAATTCATCATTCTGGAGAACCATTATTGACATAATCTCCCTTCTATGTAAATGTGATCTATGAAGTTTAGCTTTATTTTGGAGGCGTGTGTGTGTATGCAGAGACTGACGGAGGGTGTCCCACAGGCTAAGGATGTATTCTCCAGTAGAGCTGTTCTCTAGCCCCTAGGATCCATCATTCTTAAACACAATGGTAAGGAAAATGGCTAAACGGAAGTCTTTTTAGCTGACAGATATAAACTTATAGGAAACTTTGTCAGTAGAAAAGGCAATTATTATATCATAGCTATGGATTTTCATTATCTTCCCCAAGTTTTCAACCTTAGTAAAACAATCAAGGTATAACTTATCTCAGTGGTATTAGTTAAAAAGGAGACTCACTGCATAAGAAACATGTGTGAGTGCTTCCTGATTATCTGGGTATCTGGGTACATACCGTCCATATCAGTAAACTATATTTGCGATGTTAAGTAAGATTTATAGCTTTTGGAAAGCCTAAGAATATTGTAATAGTTAAGGAAAAACTTTTTCCTAGTCATTGAATTTTGCCAAAGTCACACTTACAAGTAAATGAAGCTGACAAGTTTTCCTTTGTAAATAGGTTAAATATTTGCTTAAGACAGAATATGCAAGATAAGTAAAACTTATTAGTGGTCATATCAATCCTGAGTGAAAATTAAAAATTATCTCATTGTGAAATCCTCTCATTGACAGGAAAAACTAGGGACAAAAACAGCACAGCAGCTTAGGGCAAAGATTTCAGGCATGTTAGAATGTGCACAATGTCACCTCCTTGACTTTTAATTAAGGTGACTTACACTGAAACCTTACTCCTTTTAAACTGTCAAAGAATGTAATTTATGCAATAAGAAAAGTAAAAGTAAATAAAAAGTCCTTACAGAAAACAGAAGGCAGACATGGATCAAGAAGTTTTAAAATAAACTTTCTAGTGCTTCCTCTTATATAAGAAGTTTATGTTAGTCATAAATTCTAGGAACCTATTTATATTGTTTCAGTGTGATTTATTCAAAATCACAGTAATCTATTACACACAATATTTTTTAATGTAAAAAGCAATGCCCACTGGCAATGGGTAAGAATATCGAATAAAACTAAATTAGAAAAATGAAGAGAAGTACTTCCCTAAGAATAATATAAAACTCTACCTAGGGAAAGAAAAATATCAATAAATTCTAAAAGATTCACTTAGATTTTTAGTGCATATGAAAATAAACAATAACATACTTTGTGTTTTTGTACTATGCTGAATATAAATTATCAGTTATTTCCCCATTGGTAAGTAAAAATTACATATGCTTCTTTTAGAGAAAGAAACTGTATGTCCTTAAACAGGAAATGCTTGAGCCAAAATATTCTCATCCTGTCCAACTGGAAAGTGAAGTACAAAAGTCACAAGAGATTAAAGAGTAACTAAGGCTGGTGCTCCGTAAAAGAGAACGTTGATGTTACACATCCTTTGGTTAGAGAACATTATTTTTTGGTATGTGGAAGGAAATGACTTGTGAGGTCATTATGTGTATTTTTTAAGAATTCTTTTTCATTTTACATTTATACATTAAAAATATATCTTTAGCAGCTACTAAATGAATCAAAGTCATTAACAATACACTCTTCAGAAAGTTAACTAACCTTAAAGTAAAAACTTAGCTAACCTAACAAGCAAATTCAGAGATTTATCTAAACTCATAAGCAAATACTATGTTTCAAAATTGTATTTCAAATACAATAAATGGGCAGGCAATGGTGCTTAAAACATTACACCTCAAGCTCAGCACTGTTTTTGAAAGAGTTGAAGCCTGTTATGCCATATTTTCTATAAATATTTATTGAATAAACAAACATGGTTCACCTGATGTTTTAAAATCTTTTAAACTAATCAAATCACAAATTGTTGTATCAGTTTAAGGAAAACAAAAATAGGCTTTTAAATAGCTACCAAGATAAATTACGCTACTGCTACTTCAAATAATAATAACACCCTTCCAATATTGTCAGTGGATGTTTCCTCTGCTGTTAAAAAAAAGTCAGCAGATCACTATGTTTCAGCCTTACTTTTTTAAAGAGCATATTATGTATATATTATACCTGTTAACTGCATGAGAATGCTTCACATTGAAAACTGTAATCTAAAAGTTTAAATGTGACTTTTGGAAGCAGCACAATAAATAACTGCAATTTAAAATTTGAGTATGGGAACCACAGAAACCAAAACCCAACAAATCTGCATTTAATTCTTAGAAGTAAACCGTAAATTTCCCAAACAACATAAATACACGTTTATATCAAATTCAGTTCTTTATCACAGACAGTATCCCAAGTCCCTTCATGCTGAAAACAAAAACATTTCTGGGACTCATTTATTATCTAGTAAGAATGTGTTCACTCAGAACAAACAAACAAACTAGAAAATCTAGCTAAAGAAGTGGGTCTATATGCTATTAGAAAGTATATGTCAAATTTTTCTTTATAAAGTTATAAGGCATTAACAATTATTAACATATAATAATTATTACATGTTAAAGTGATACTTAAGCAAATAATTTATAATTAAAAATAGATCAAAACTCTCTTTTAAAAAATATCTCAAGTGAGAAAATCACAGGAGAGGATAAAAATCACATGTAACCACCTACATACTCTCAAGCTTCTACTAACTAAAAACACTTTTCTTTTCTTGGCTTAAAATAGACCTTATGCACTGAACGGCAGGTGTCATTATACCAACATGGACACAGCCTAAGTCTATTTAAAGTTATTGTAAAATTTGTATATGCAAGTATTCTGACGGCTACTAATAAAGGTAGAAAAGTTAGCATGTATTATACCAGGTATAATAATACTTGGTATTATCAGTGCGTACTGCAAATTGTCTTTCTGATAATATTCTCTTACTACAGTGTGGCCTTCAGTCTTATACCAAATAGTGGCAAAGATTACACTACCATGGTTTAAATAATGGTCAGCAGCTTAGGCTAGTACAGAGCTAGAAAGAAGAATTGGTTTATAATAAATCAGTAAATAAGGAACATAGCTTTATTTTAGTATTAGTTGCTGAAACTGAGCAATGAAATAATGCAGAAATAAAGTTTTGTTCCAGAGTGACAGGGGATGGTAAGGATTGTGGAGGGGCCAGTGGTGAGGGATTGTTAGCTGGCTTACTAAAATACATACCTGAGCTCCACTGGAGCTGTGCAACCTGGTTGTGTATCAGTTATTTGTAAGGGCTGACTAAACAAAATCCCTTTCATCATGCATGCACTGCTGTCTTCACTACAGTAATAGAGAAACACGCTGATAGATATCACGGCTTCAAGTGACAAGCAATCACCAGGAATTGGCAGCAGAATTGTTGGTTGATTAGAAATATTCTCTATGTCTCCAGATGGTATCTGTCCTTGAAGAAGCCACTCGTTGCCTAGAAAATAGAAAATAATTTACCAAGACTGTGGAAGAAATCAGCTGGGAAACTGGAAAAAAAATCTTAGGAAGACAAGATCCATTCAATCAACTAACATTTACAAAATCTTGTAAGCACCTAGGCTCTGTGCTCTGTAGGATAGACATGGTATTAAGATATAATGATGACCCCAAAGAAATTTCCAGATTAGTGATCTAATTTTTACAAAAATTTGTTTAAATACTATAAGCCATAAACATATTTCTACTGAAAACTGAATATTGCAAATAAAGCTCAAGATCCATAATATCCAAAGTTAAACATGAACTCCATTAAGTTATATAAATAAACCTAGGACATATGAGATCACAGAGAATTTCTACCAAACAGATAAAATTTTTCAGGCATATGATACAATTTTGGCTTAAAACATTCACATATTCTAATCACTTTAAGTGTCTATCTCTTAAATGACCAGCCAAAACTCAGAAAATATCCTTTAATTGTAGGCACAGATATGTAGTCTATAAATTTTTTTTCCAAACTATTAAATTATTGCGATACTTCTCTGAAAGCTTATTTACCCCTATGTAATATAAAACAGAGCCACTGTCTGGGACATGTCATAGAACAGGTAAGCTCTTAAGCATTTCACTTGAATACTATTTGTACTTTGTATCCCCAGGATTCCATATTAGCTAATGTATTTAATAAAGCAAGTCTTAAACATTAGTTTCTCAATAGCCTATTTTAAAAAAAGCAATGCATTGATCTTTACCCCACGAACCACCTTCAGTGTTAGAGAGATATAACTGCTAAAGTGGCATCTAGGACTTGCTCTGAGTTCACAGATGGCTGAGACGTAGCCAAGGTCTGTCTACAAAACAATTTCCATATATCTGAGTTTGGGTCAACCCTCTCTGTCTGTGGGAATCTGAGGGGACAGTTTCCCACAGACTCAGTCAGTCATCCCACAGCCAGCCTCCCAAACTCCAACCAGCAGTCTACCTGCCAGTCTACCTAAGACCTCTTCTTTGTCATTTCATTTCGGGCACTGCAGTAGACAGTGCCTTCTGCCCTGAGAACATATGAACATAAGAAGGCCTGGGGCCAAGATCTGGGTACTGTATGAAAAAGTATGTGAGAGAATACGAGGGAGAAGGAGCTGGGGAGGAAGTGGAAGAGTGAGTGAGAATGTGTGAAAGAGCGTGGGAGAGTAAGGACAGAGCAAGAACACTGGAGAAAAGAAGTCATATGTTATAAACTCCTGGACCAGGGCTACCCCTTCTTTAAAACTGCTACCCACTGTTACACAGATATCCAAAAACACTATGATCAACTAATGAAGTAAGGAGCTAGTTCACACTGAGTCACACATAGGAAAGGGAGGACTGGAAAAAGGTGTTAGAAGAGTTACAGGAAGAATAACAATGGAGAAGGTTCCACTTTATTTCCCTATTTCAGACTCTAAGAGTTTTCTTGGGAACAAAGGAAAGATTAGAATAAGGGAAGAGAACTTCTCTTCAATTTAGTATTAGAATGCCTAGCTATAGCAGTAAGACAAGATACAAACATAAAAGGAATCCAAATAGGGAAACATGAAGAAACTCTCCCTCTTTGCAGATGACAGGATCTTGTATTTAAAGAATCCTACGGACTCCACGCCCAAATTACTCAAGGTGATTCAAAACTTTGGCAAAGTAGCAGGGTATAAAATTAACCCTCAAAAATCAATGGCTTTTTGTATGCCAACAATGAGAAAAGCGTGGCTGAAATCAGGAAAGCAACTCCATTTGCAATAGCTCCACAAAAAATAAAATTCCTAGGGAATTAACTTAACCAAAGAAGTGAAGGACCTCTATGATGAAAACTTTAAAAACCTGAAAAAGGAAATCAAAACAGAATTTAAAAAGTAGAAAAACCTCCCATGCTCCTGGATTGGAAAGATCAACATCGAGAAAATGGCAATAGTTCCCAAGGCTATCTATAAATTCAATGCAATACCTATTAATATTCCAACCTCATTCTTCAAGGAAACAGAAGAGGCAATCCAAAAATTCATATGGAACAATAAATACCCCAAATAGCAAAAATGATCCTTAACAGAAAGAACAGTGCTGGAGGAATATCAATACCAAATTTCAAACTCTACTACAAAGCCATAGTAATCAAAACAGCTTGGTACTGGCACAAGAACAGACCT